CGGAAAGTTTAGAACAATTCAATAATTATAATTTAATAACATTTATTAAATAAAAAACACAATATTTTCTTAGATAATTAGATGATATAAAATATAAGTTAAAACTATAATCGTTTAGATAAGGTTAAGTCAACAGTCTAAAGATGTTTTTTGCTTTCTTACTTTGCAGTTTTTATGTTTGAGTTTATGAGCTCAAATTGAATGTCATTAGTAAAAAAAAAAAATAAATAAATTATTAGATCATAACTTAACTTAAAAAATGTTAACAGATTTTTTTTCCAGAACATTTGTAATACAAGTTCGTGTCCATACAACAAAGCTATGTTAGAGGTTTATTAAGAAAAACAACTTTGTGTGTAGTGTTTTTAGTTATTGTATTGTATTACTTAATTTTTAGCCAAATGGCTTTATTTGTTTAATAAAATCAAATTAAATACTTAATTTTGATTTTGTTACGTTAGAAGTTTTTTGAATTCCTGTTGTAAGTTACAAACCTTTTTATTTGAGAGAGAGCTTTTAAATAATTGGTATTTTGGTGTGCTGTTAAAAAGGAATGTATTTGAAAAAGTCAGGCTATGATTCGGACCCTGAATGTTTTGGAAAGGAAATTTATCTGTTTTTTCATTATAAGTGTATTACTAGTATATTATAACATGTTTAATAAACTTTATTGATTCGATTAAAAAAAATGTGAGTAAAAGAGAGTATTTTTAATCTTCTTTTAATACTTTTAAAAATGCGCTTTTGATTTTCGATTTAAGGCTTTATATTTAATTTTTTTTTACAAAAGTCATAATAGCCTAAATAACAAACAAATTACTTGAATCTGTATGTAAAACATTTAATGTTGTACTTGTAATTTATATCAAAAAGAGTAGTTCGAAAGCAATAGTAGGATAATGCGTGTATAATGTTAATAAAAAATAAAATTTCTACAAAATGAAAAAACGCTTTTTACCAATTTTTGTAAGCATTTTTTATAATATTTTTTTTTAAATAGTTTTAATAATATTTATATACTACGTATTTTACTAAAGTTACAAAAAATGCATTGCAGGTGAACTAAGTGTCGAAACAATTAATTTAACGCTTACCACAGGTTTATTATGGTAATTTTATTTTTAACGTTTTTCATAGTTAGTAAATTGAAAATAAAAATTCTACAAAGCAACGGCGGACTCGGTATAATGGATACCATAAACAACTTAGAAATCCAATTACAAGTGTGCAACACTCGAAACTGCTCCACGGCTAATTGAATAGAGCGCTATGTAGTAATCCGCGAGCACGTTATTAAATTCCCAAGAATCTCGAACACCGCTTGTGTAAATAACATCCGATTCAAAACACTAAAACGGCATAGGCGCAATTTCAATTTTTAATTTGGGGGGGCTGGACATTTTTTTAAAATATATATATAAGTAAATATATTTTTGTATTTCAAAATTGTATGCATAACCTAATTTTTTTGGGGGGCTAAGCCCACCCTAGCCCCCCCCCCGTATTTGCGCCTATGTAAAACGGTGCATATTATTATGTATTATATATAATAAACTGTGTCTATATTTTTGTACCTACCCCTCAATCGATAGTAGACTATTTAAACAAAAAAAACCCTTTACAAATTTCAGTAATTTTCAAGTATTTTATCGTGAATTTTGTTTTCTTACGTTTGATTAACGAGAGAAATTAAAATTAAAATTATTTATATTAATCAAATGCAAAAGAAAAATTCATAAGAAAATACTTAGAGCTGAACTTTGTATCTCAAATGTTAGGAGTCTATAATTCTAGTTCACTACTATCCTATTAAAACTGTAAGCTGTAGGAAAAACAAAGAAAGGATGTAAAAAAACCCAGTTGTATACAAGCATGAGTGAATTCTTTGTCTGAAAATCACATATTTGACGGCTGCATCCGGGCGGATTAACCTTTAGAAAGTTGAACTTTAACGCGTAAACTCAATTACAAAGTAGAAAGATATGAAATGCTCAAAATAAAGTGAAAGTAAAAAACACCGCAGTGTGTGGACGTGACGGAAAAACTAAACCTAGCAAAAGGACAAGAACTTTTTTGTTTTATTGATGGACAGAAAAGACTGCGACTTTTGTCGGCTCATCACTAGTACTATTATTATGAACGTTTGCTTGGGTCTATTAAAGAATAGAAATATTCGTTCAAATTAAAAAATAACGACACAACATATTAGACCTTTTAAGACGTATACCCTCAGATGTTTTTCACTAAATCCGAATCTGACATTAGATTTTTGTAGATTGCTTCCAAACTTAAAAAAAAGTCCATTTCATTTCTTAAATGTGTTCTAAATATAAACTGTTTTTTATTCTAATTTATTTTCATTTTTTTGCTGATTACAAGATCTATCTCAAAAATAATATAGAGTTTGTAAGGGTTTTTTAACTTTCTTTTAACAATCTTCAGTTTTATTTGACGGTTTCAAATAAAGGGTAATTAAAAATAAAGGGTTATAAATAATAAGTTATAAAAATAAAATGTTTATACTTTTATAAAAAATGTATAAACGTTTTTTAATTAAGAATTATTTAAATAACTGTTTATTGAAACAAAATATTAAATATTGGCAACAAAAAAAAATTTAAGCAAAGATGCAAGTAATAATTTCAAATATTATATTTGTATTTGTTAATTAAATTCAATTGAATAAAAATGTTATTAAATTAATTCTAATTATTAACTGAAATAATAGTTTTTTTTTTAAATTAAAATTACACTAAATAAAATAAAATATTTCTTTGAGCAGAAAAACTGTTATAACGATATATTTTTTCAATACATTCATTATTTAACGTTATACTGGATGTTAGATAGAGACATTTTTTCCTTTTTTTTTTTTATAATACGAACTTTTTTTTTTTAGAAAACACATAACTAAAAGGATATACATATATATAATTTATGATAGTCTTGAAAATGTTGTCGTTCTCGTTATAAGTGTGATCGGTCTAACCTTACCTAACCCATCTTGGACGGAGTAAAATGCATTCTGCGTGTTCAGGTTTTCACGCTAGAAAATTGGAGTATAACGTCCTCTTAATAATTGAGGTGTCACTATAATGGATGACTTCCTTGAAAAGCCTAGATCACGCTGTCTATAAATATTGTACACAATCCGTCTTAAGAACTTTTTCTATTTACATTTATACGGATCTTACACAGGATTTTTACACATTTAATAAAATAATAATAACTGTAGTACAAATATTGTTTTAAATTATAACATAGTTTTTTAGAAGAAGATAAATAACGCACAGCATCGAATCATTTTTTTTTTACAACAAAACATTTTAGTTATCTTTTTGTCAGTTTTTGGCGTGCTATGTTTAAAATTTATTATTTGCGTCATCCTTGGCTAACCACAAAAACCGCTTCTGATTATCCGTGGTATATTATGTTTGAATAAAGTAGTTTTTTAATTATAGCACTTGAACGTGGACCGTAATAAAAAATCTCTTTTCATCTTTTTTTTTTTTTAAAGTGGAATAGCGAACAAAATCAACGGCGAATAAACGATAGACTCGAGTTTGTTATTCTATACACGCGCTATAATAACGTTCCATAAAAAACCGATTGGGTACAATGTGATTGCAGATTGCAACTGTATTGGCAGTGTTATGATTCCATTATAGGCTTCTTTTATATGTATAGACGAAAATAAACGTTCACGGGAACGGGATAGGTCTTTTTACGATGAAAACAAATAGATTTGTTGTGTTTGCTGTACTGTTTGCTCTGTGTGGTTATTATGCGGTTATAATTGCACTCAGACTTATAGCGTTCCACACGCTAACGATGAATATATTATTATTTTGTTAGCTGAAAACTTTTCAAATGTATCAAGTTCTAAACCGACAAAACGCATTATTGAGTTACTGACAAACTCGTTGTTGTAACAATTCAATTATTCTAAACGATCTAAACGATTCATCATGACTTTGTTAACGTGTTTCAATCGAATTACCTCGGTGATATGTGCAATTATTATTATATTGTAGCGATTAACATTGGTTATGCTATTTTAACATGCATTATTTCTCTGCAGATCACGTCTCGCTATAGTGTGTACAACGCGTTAATAATAATAATAATAATTATAATAGCAACATAACAAAATTTGAAATCGAAATAAATAATATTACTTTTTTTGGAATAAATTTCGTTTATAAGCCCAGCTATTTTTTTTTTTATTGATTTATTTAATTATTTTTAGTGTGATTATTTTCGAGTGTGAACGAAGGGTGGAGAGGAAACTTGACCTATTTTATTTTATAAAAAAAAAATACAGGCGCGATTTCCTTTAAACTCTTATAACATTGACAAAATCGTATAAGACTGTACAATAAAGCTAGCAAAGATAATATTATTTAGATGTTGACCTAGATGAATAGGAAATGTAAATGTATTACTGAAATGAAAACGCTGGTCCATGGAGAGAATAAGGTGGATTAAATTAGAAATGAGTATGGTAGAGAAAGTTTGGATGTTGGAGCACGAGAGAAATTTGAAGGATAATAAGTTTGGATGGTTTGGATAATACCTTAAAAAAAAAAGACAAGGCTAAGAAGATTATTTTTTTTACGATTTCTTTTTGATTGGATTAGGTATGTTAAATCTGACCATTTTTTCATGAAAAAATCTTTTTGTTTTGTAATATTATTAAACTATTTCAAACAAAGCGTTATAGGTATTAGATATTTTTTTTTTCACAGAGTGATGAGAAACAAAATAAGGTATAGCAATGTTCTTATTCGAAAACTAGTATCAAGTAGCAATTGCCAATAAAAACCTTTACTATCTGAATTTTAGTCAATTTTTCATAGGGCCTTTGAAGGAAACCAAATGCCATCACCGAAAATAACCCATCCGTTCGCTCTACCGTGAATTTTTTAAAAATATTTCAATACTTGTGTTTATATATATATATAATTTTATATGATATGTTTTATAATTATTTTCAACAGGACGGCATGGGTACCATTAAAGTAGTGAACGGCGGTATTCGGCTGTCCGGTCATAGTGTTGTGCTCGACAGACTGATAGCGTCGACGATCCGATCCCGGGTTGGATATCCGATTTCCATAGAATCCGCGGCCAACATTTCCATATTTGCCAGGAACTCACAAGGCAGACTCGTCAATAGCCTGAAACTAAGTAAGTAACATCGGCTGGAAAACAGTGTAATCTTTCAATTATACACACTCCGTTGGACGAAACGAAAAATATATCCTTTTATATTCTCTCATTAATTTCAGCTGCTAAGCTCCCCTGAAAAGTTAGCATAATATTGGGAATTACGTTCGTTTGACACTAAGGTAACAGATATTATTTTGAAACCGGGGATTAAATCTTGGCGGAGATCGGTAGGGGGGAGGGGCTGATGGAGGGGGTTGGGATTCTAAAAACCTTAAAACCTTAATTTAGGTTTAAATTTAAGATTTCAACAAATCTTTCACTAAAAAATAAATGTAGGTATTTTAAAAAGCGCTAATTTTAAGTTTTAAGGTTTTCAGTATTCCAAGCCCCCCCCCACCACCCTCAGATCTCCGCCGATGGATTAAATAGATGATTAATTTCTGTATTCAAAACGATTCCGGTAGAACTCAAAAGGTTCCAAAATACCAATGTTATTTAAATATTTATTTATTTTATTGATGATACTAAAAAGTAAAAATGTAGTATATGAATGATTTTTCTGGAATGGAATCTTTTTAAATTGTTTGAAAAAGTTCCATAGCTATTACACTTGATTTAAAAAAATAGACCTAATATTAATAAAAAAAAATCTGTTAAATATATAATAAATTAGCAGTTAGGGCTAATAGTTTAGCTGGATAATTTGTTTAACTATTATGAGTCATCATATTTAAATTTAGTCATCATAATATATGACTTATGAGGAAAAAGACTTAAAACGAAATTATACTAGAACTAATTTTGATTTAAAAATAATACACTACTAGTCTAATCTAACTTAGAATTTAACGAAGTAAAACCTGTGAAACACTTAAAAGTGATATAATGCTTATTTCTATTATAGTCATTAGTTTTGACTACTTACCCAAAAACATACTTAAGTTGTTTTTTAATTATGGTTATTTTATTTGACAGTTTGCATTGAAAGAATATTGTAATGTTTTAGTAAAGCCTTTTTATTCTAAAAATCCATTTTATCGCTTTTTAGATTTTCTTTTTAAGCATTAAGTACCTATTCGGCGTACTTCAATCCAACTTTAACCCTTCTTGCTTACGGTTAATATTGTTTTTCTCACCAGGCCTTTACAACACAATAGTATGTTGTAACTTATTAAACAAAAGCACTTTGTATGATGTCAAAGAGTGGACGCCATTGTGCTGTATTAAAATGCATTTAAATCGTTTTCTACAAATACTCTACCAATCTTAGACGAGTAACCCAGGTTAAACTTGGTGGGTATATTTTTCAAAGACTTTTCTTGTTGTATTCGACACAAAATCGATTACATAACAAACGGGCATGTAGTTTTGATAGACGTTACACAATTTAACGTTAGGACATTAAGTTGTATTTATTTTTTGTTGATAAAACCCTGTCACGTTCTCATAACATCAAAATTGTTTATTTTATTATATAACACATTAGAATAATACAAATTTTTTAATATGAATAATGAATATGTCTTATGGCTGGGAATCTGTCAAAAATTTGCGTTAAGTGTCATGAGTTTGATTTACCCAGGCGGACCTGAATTGGCGACATCAAACTAAGAGCGGTGTTGAAGAGAAGAGTGAGGAAGGGGAAGGCAGGAGAAGAGAGGAGATTCTAATCAGTTACTAATCAGTCAACTATCTAATTAATATTAGATAGTTGACTGATTAGTGAGGGGAAGACAAGAGAGGTTAGAACAAATGGAAAGTGGGGAGAGAAGGCAGTATAATATTATTATTACGAATATAGTTAGATAGAGTAAATAGCATCATCTATGTTGGTCAGTTTTTTTTTTATGTTTTTGAATTTTACACATGTTTATTGCATATCTTGTTTTCTTAGCATTAGGTTACAAATGTATTTTTTACTGTTCATTGTTTGTCAACTGTTATTAGTGTTATTTTGTATATTTAACTTTACCAAAAGCCGATTGGCGTTTATTATGTAAATAAAGATACTCACATTTTGGTGTTTTTTTTTTTTTGCAGCCAAAGACAAGTTGGAATGCGCTGCTACCAGTTTCAAAGTGACGGATACCCGAGGGGAAATCTTGTTCTCGGCCGACCGTAGCAAAGTCATTGTTGGTGCTCAAGAACTCAAAGTTACAGGTACCTAAGCCATCGGGTTAGATTTTTCTAGGAAAACTAAAAAATACCTATAACAGTTTCACTACATGCAAAAACTTTGAATTAAAATAAAAAGCCTTTATAATACATTTTTGTCGGAAAGAATTTTAACTAAGGTCAGGTTACTTTCGTTTTCCTACAAATGGGCTTGACAGCTGACCCTAATAAATTCCATTTTTTTTTTTTATCAAAATATGTTAACTTTGTGTTTTAGGCTTAGGCGGTGCTGTATTCGACGGCAGCGTACAGACGCCTATGGTCAGAGCGGATTCTAGACATGACTTGAGGTACAGACTGTTACTGTTTCTATGTGACTCTAAGCAGAGTGTGTCGCCATGTGAAACAAATATTTTTGAATCGACTCTCCGGGTAACATCAGTATAGGTTTGGGTGTCCAACTGAACTTCTTGCTCTTTCCGTTGGCACTTGTGACTTGACACATTGCACCTGTTAACACATTCTAACTTATCCAACCGCAGTTCTAGAAAATGATTTAAGGTTCTAATTCGGCGTCTAATTCGGATTTCGTGTAGATGGCAAAATTTAAATGCTAGCGAAAAAGCGGAATTCGAAAAAACCCCTTTTTAATTCTACCCCTTTTCATGAGTAGATTTTTGAAAAATGTTGTATTACGTTGCAAGACACACTGCTTTATGAAATCACAATATTAATGCATTAAGTATTTTTTTTTCTTGCACTTAAGACTCGAATCGGCTTCGCGAAAAATCGAGCTGTCCGGCCCGCAAGGCGTTACGATTGAATCCAGAGCAGGTGACATCACCGCGTCTTGTCTGATGGATCTGAAACTCCAATCTATATCTGGCGCTGTAAGTATTATCGGTGAACATTATTAACGGCTTACTAGCTATTTCAAACAATATCGGTTAAATGGCAAATCAATAGTGACGTCGAGAAAAATAAACTATGAACATGGATGACGATATCAATTGATTCGTGTGAACCTATTAACTGCTGGGAATCGTATTCCCAGTTTCCCGTCCATATTTGTACTACCTTAGATGCCTTCGTCATACTTTCTTATTTGACCGACCTTGTTCTAAATGCTCTCAGCGGGATTGGGTTGAGTTTCTACAAAAGGGTTATACACAATACTTGAAGGACTAATTAGAAATTCCTATGGAAAAAAGGCTATCACATCAGGTCTTTCTAACCGTTTATTCGTCTGCCCGTTCAGTGTTAGTACTGGACTATATTTTAGTGTTTCTCTTGGGATTAAATTTGGATTAATCAAAACGGTGGGGTCGAATATAAGGTCTGGCCGCGGTGTAAGTTTTGGCAAGTCAACCCAAAGTCTAAACATTTCAAAAAAAAAGTTCTGGCTTTCATTGTTGTGCGTCTGATTTTGTTTGCGACGCAGATCCAAATCGACGCGGCCAAAGTGTTTTTCAAAGGACTCAAGACGTTCTCGACCGATCCGCAGAAGGACGGCAAGCCGAACTTAGGACCCACAGCATCGCGGGACAAGTTACCCAGCGTTTATCAGCTGTGCGTTTGTGGTAACGGCAAAGTGTTTATGTCACCGCCGGACGGTCAATGTGCGGCCGACAACGAGAGTTTGGTCTGCCGGTGAAAAAAAAACCCACCACAAACTTACCACATCAATCGTGCCGGGTTTTACTTTTGTTTTAATTTTTTTTTTTTAGAAAATATTGTTATTATTATTATGCCATGTATACCTACGCTTAAACCGTATTTTTTTTGTTTTCTTTTAAAGTGTTAATAACCACACAGCTACACGAGCAAACTGTAATATTCACTTTAGAGTAAAAGCGCTCATCGGAGGTTTAACGATGCACGTTCCAAGTGAACGTGTGAGGTGGACAGGATAAAATGTCAATTGAAAATCAAACTTGGCTACAAACTTAGATCAAGGTTTTTTTTTGTTTACACTGATGGGCGTCGTTGCTTTAGGAGATATATCCCTCTCGTTCAACCGATTATCAGCTGCAGATCAGTGAAATCAATCAAATTTGTTTATTATGTGCTAGATGATCTGGCTTGTATTTGCCTGGTTGGGCACTACCGGTCCCATTACTGTTAATCAATATTATAATTATTTAGACAATTACCTATTATTATTATTATTACTATTACCTATTATAATAATTATTATGATTATAATTATTTTACTATTATTACTATAATTACCGAATAAAATATGTTGTAAACGATTTGTTTTGTATTAGATAAATTACTATAGCTGCCGCTTAAGTTGGGTTAGGGCTCGGAAATGAACTATTTAGCAGTTAATTAAAGTATCCAAAGTGTTAAGGAAAATATCTGATGTCATATTATTATCATAAGTATATTACGACGGAACCTCGCAGTAAAATTAAGTAACTTAATTTTTGCTTGGAACAATTTTAATGATTGCAGTTCATTTGACTATTATTTTAACCGTTTCAATAGTATACTTTAATATTTACAAAATTAAGCATTTTTAAATAAATGAAAACAATGTTCATAAAGTAAAAACAAAAAAAGTATCTCGTATATTAAACACAACCGCTGAAACGGACGAAACATTTCTTTATATACTCAATGACAACACTTAAAGTATTGTTTGCAGATATTTTGGGTATACATTTTCAAGTCATTAATGTAATAATAATTATTGCTTATTATTGTTTTTTTTTTTAGGTCTTCGACTTCCGAGCCCAGTTGTACCTAATTACACCTGTGTTTTTTGTTTTATCTCATGTCTCACTATGACAACTTGACTCCTTTTATCTTTTTTTCCCCCGCAAAAGCGACGACCAGCATTGCGCTCGAAACAAGAGCTGTGATTATTGTCATTATCGTTGGCGATGATATGTGTATTTATCGCATATTATGTGTGTGTGAGACTTATTATAATATTATAGGGGAGATGGTGTTGGGCATATTGTATTATTCATCGATTAAACTAAACGCGTGCACGAGATAAGCGTCTCGGGGCTAATAAGATGTCGGCGTTATTTTTGCACTTGTATTATGTGTAATGTGTATAATACCTGCACATGTGTGTGTGTGTGTGTGTGTGTGTGTGTGTGTGTGTACAAAGGTACCAGAAATGATATGTACAGTAAGTTAGCGATTGAAATTCAAGTCACGTCGTCGATTTGCACGAAGCCAAAACATATATTTATACATATACAAGACTATAGGTGTACTGCTGCACGAGTGTAACGTTATTATATTATGTTCAACGCGAGGGGAGGCGGTTCTGGTGCAGTTGTGCCCACGTTATTACTTATTAGGTATAACGTTACCGCCGTCGCCCAAGATTTGTTTCTGACTTCTGAGCAGTTCCGAATTTGCTCAACAAATAAGTACCTACCTCGTTTCGGGTACACTGCGGACAATGGTCTGAAATACCAAAAACAACTCCCATCGTTGTAAAATCGAAAGTTTGACCGAAAAGTATTTTTCAAACGGGTCGTTTGGTTCTGGCAAAAACAAGATTTTCAACCGTTAACTTAATAAATAAAAAAGTAAATCATTGGTTATAATATTTAAACACAGAAAAAGTATCAACATAATTAATTTATAATTGGGAACATAATTTTATTTCCCAATTATAAAACAGAAATCTATGTAAGAATCTTAGCATAATACTATTTTTGTTCTGTTCTTTTAGTCACATTATAACATGGTAGATTGTAAAAGTAGATAAGTATTTTATTTTAAATTAAATTTATTATTTTTGCACAATTTTCTATCTTCAACACAAGCAATACTTAAAGGAGTTTATAAATCATTATAGGTTCAAATATTTACTATGTAATTTGTTTATATTAGTTTGATTGAAAAGAAAATTCCTGGACTACTGTGTTGCCTTTTTATTGGTGAAATCCGGGTGTTCTCTCACATAAATAGTTCCGGATTCGTCATTATGATTTTGATATAAAAATGTACATAAACAATACACTCTTAAAACAATCTAAGCAATAAAAATAATGTCACCTACTAAGTTTTTGATCGCAAATGTCCTCTTAAGTTATCCCATCGAATTACCCCAACTCGTGTGGGGTATTAACGAAACTGAAGGGTTAGGATGAGGTTAAAAATAAGTTAAACCTATAATATCTTTTTCTATCAAAAATTAGTATAGTAGCCAAACGGTTATTACTTTTTCCTTTATTAATTAATGTACACTGTATGTTACACTAAACTGAAAATGTTTAATCCAAAAATGGTTGCAATTAAAAATATACTTACCAAATAAAATTGGATTGGAATCATCATAATCGCTGTACTTTGTCCCAATTAATGTACTAGTTTTCATCATAAATAATTTGTAAATGTTTTTGTTAATTTTTTCGACATGATTTATACGTGCAAACTGTAAATAGGTAATTGTAATCGTTAATCTTATATTCCACTTTGGAACACATTTCGATATCGATTTTTTATCCTAACTTTTAGTGCTAAACTTTGAAAAGCCCTCGTCAAATAAACGTTAGTGTATTGCATTTTCATTTAACGCTCAAAGTTTTATTTTTCGTTGCTTAGGTTGAAAAATAAATACTGTTTAAACTAGTTTAAGGTTTATTAGTTTAATGGTGTTTTTGACAAGGACAAGGTTTATATTATGGCTTTTGCACACATTGGAGTAGGGAAGGAAGGTTAAGTGGGTGGGTAGGAGTAGAAGTACGAAGGGTAAGAGGATTTGGAGAGGATGAACTATATCAACTGATGTGTACGGTCAAAGGCGCCATGATCCAATGTCTTTCCTTCATGGGAAATATATTTTTTTTATTATATAAACACATAAATGAGCCGAGGGGATGTTAAATTATTTGAACAAAAAGCATAAAAAAGGAAACAATTTTTAATTAAATTTAAAGAGCAGATAATATTGTTTTTTTTTGTACTCTGATAAATTATCAGTTATTTTTTGTTGTATTATAAGCTATCGCTTCAACGAATAGAGCTAAATAAAGTTAAATACCTCTCTTGATCTTTTAAAAGGCATTCATTTTTTTCACTCAATCGAGCAAACTTTTTTTCTTAATTTTTTCTCATTAAAACTAAACGTCTGACATCTTTTTTATTGTGTACTATTCAAAACTCTTTTTACTGTAACCGATTGAAATGATTGCGACAGCGATAACTAAAAAACAAATAAAATAAAACTTTGGGCGGACAAGAGTATAGTACGTTATTTTATACTAATGAAAACAACTGTGTTATTTTTTTTTGAAAATTAATCTAACAAACGGGTTTAACGGTTATTGACGTGTAATTAATGTCTCGGTCGTCGCTCAAAAAATTTTGTTCCTCATCTAGGCATTGTCATCAAATAGGGAAAATCGTACAATCAAAAGAAAGTATACAACGATTATTTTTTTTTAAATTTAAAAATCATTTGACGTTACTCGTCGTATTGATAAATAATTGTTATCACAATAATTTCATACACACAGAATCCTACCCAAGTTATTATAAATTATCTTAATTATTATTATTGTTGTACTGTAATTTATGCTGAAAATAAACTAAACTATAATCTACTAAATGTGTAAAATATAATGTTAAAAGAACTGTTACGGTAAAAAATAATAATTAATTTAAATATGTTTACTTTTAATTTGTTTTTTTTAATCTGAGACAAGGACTCTAATACTTTATATTGTTATAGCGTTTGTACAATACAATGTTTATATTATTGGCGTTTGCTCGTAAGTCATTTATTACAACAACTATTTATTAATGATGTATGATGTTAACTATAGAAAATAATAAATATATTATAACTACGATTATTAAAAATTGAATAAATAAAAATAAAAAATATGCGATAAAATTGAACACAATTAATTGTTTTTCTATTGTTGTTATCAAGTACTTTGGGCTGATATCTAGAAATTATAATGAAAAAAAAAAACATAAATTATGTTTACTTATTTCATATCAAACAACGGCCTTTTTTCTGTTAAACGAGGTAAGTGTTTATATTTTCAATAAAGGTCACGGCCCGCTTATTAATTATTAAGACAAACGTAACGAACATAAAAAATAAATTTCCCAACAAGTTACATATTATATTTTGTAGGACTCGGTCACATCGAAGCTAAACATTTTAAAGTAAAGCTTGGTTATTAGTATAGATGGTTCGTCAACATATTAAAGAAAAAAAAACTTTGTAAAAGTCTAAATCCATTGATGTAACAAAATTATGTGATAACTGAGAACAGTCGACCGTCAAATAAAAACAGCTCCTTTAACTGTTGTAAATTCAATTAAAAAAATCAAAAACTCTAACTCAAAGATACTTTTTGATGATTTCAAAATTAAATTTGTATTTTCACTAGCATACTGTTGAACATTTATGCTGGATAAATGAAGGTTAAATTTGGAATTATGGATATATATCCTCAAAAATATCATTGTTTTTAGAATTTATGGATACAAATAATAAAAAATAATTAGTTGTGTACTTTGTATTTTGTATAATGAGTTTTTGAAATATTTTTCCTACAATAACTATTTGTTGTATATTTTTTGTATACGTAGTTTAAATAGTACTTTAGAAAAAAAACTTCCTCATAGTCTTAATAACTTTGAGTTTGACTAGGTTTTGACATTTTAATAAGAAACATTATATTATGTTTTGTACTATTATTTTAGAGATGGAGTTTCTTTGAGACAATTATCGTACCCAGTACCCACTTCTAATTCAAGAGTGTGGTTATACATTATAATATTATCAGTGCCGATGTAGAGTCGATTTAGGAATAGACGACCATCGTGTTGGACCTAATATCATGATTTCGACCGAACATCCGGTCCCGGTACAAGTGGAATAATGTATAAGCACCGTGAGGGTATCTTATCCACTTCCGTCCGTATCGTTTTAATAATTCCAAGACGAACGCACTCGGTAATTATTGATAACCGATTTGCATACAGTCGATGAACGCCACAACTGTTAACACTATATCCTTTTGGATTAATAATGCCCACGTTGCAGTATAGCAACGGTCGAATAGGCTGGATCAGACCGACAACCCCTCGTTGGCCAAGTAAATTTAGAATATTATGTTAATGAACAAAGGAAGGTACCAAGTATGAACATTATTTCAAAATAATTATAATATATGACAACCGAGGGTTAAGAATGTCTGATGTCTTTCTCGAAAAACGTGACAATGTCAAATCAGCAAACGGTTTGATATTTAATTACAAA